TAGATGGCTTGTGCAGATCTTACAACCTTCGGCATGGGAGCAAAGGTACTACCCCCGACCTTCTTTCTCTTGCTCTCTCCTATACTTGCAGGAGTTCTGTTGGCTTGGTGAGCAACTTGCCGTCTAGTGGTCAAGCGCTTACAGCTGTCGTCCCGACCTCTTCGGACTATAAGCGTTTGTCGCATGCAATTCAACCCCTTTTTGCTTCTTATGTAGCATTGGGTTTGTCTTATGGCTGTGTCTATGTCTTTGGTGGCTTCAGCTGGGTCCCAGCTCTCGCCCTATTGGGCCACAACCTTTTGTATGCGGATGTGACCTTAAATGCTCGACGCCCAGTAGCTGGTTTAGTCATTGCTCAGGCTCGTACTTCCAGCTTTCTCACCTGGTACACAGACAGTCGTCTTGACGGTACGAAACTTGCTTTCATGTGCGTTATGTTAGCTTCAACTTTGGCCGTCTGTTATGCCATTTACATGGTAGTTGACGAAAGACTCCTGCTTCCTTTTGCTGGTCCTTTTCTGGCGCAGTTGATTGTTGTCATTAGTTTCGCGTCTGCAGGGTCGTGGCTCTCGGTATACGTCCAGTTTGCGGGGTTCGTTGCTATCATGGTAACAATGCTTGCATACGAAACTAAGTTTGTAGTCTCTCAGGATACCAATGGTGCAAGGAGGATAACGTTAGCCTTTGCCAGTCAGGCTTTCAATTTTTCTGTGATCCTTATGTCATTGTGCCTTGTAGCTAGTGCTCCTGGCATGACACGCTACAGGCGGGGTATCCTGACAGTTGCAACCGTCTCAGGATTCAGTCCTGGTGGTTTCATAGTTAGCATGACCATGAACAACGTGCTCATTGGCTCAGGTTATATCGTGTGCTCGCTGGCAGATGCCAACCTTTTGGCGGCAGCCTACAAGCTGGTACAGGCTGTTTGTCTTCTGGTTTGGCTGTATCTCTCCACGCCCTTTGCTCCACGACTCAAGAAAGCAGGCTCTACCGTTGTGTTGCCTTGGTATGTCCTTGTCGCAGCATCCCTTAAGGCTGGTGACACTACTGCTGTGACCATTGCGAGAGCATTGGCTCCTGAGCTATGCGCATTCCTCACTGCTTTTACGTTGGTTCCAGAAGGCCTTCAGCGCTGCGACAAGTTGTCTGAGGATCAGCTTGCAAAGCTTTAATGATGACCATGTGCAGATCACGTGATACCTGGATCATCTTGATCCACTAGAATCTTTAATGTTATAACTAATAAGCTTGCTATATTTTCTCCCCGTATCCGAAGAAGTGATCTGTGTAGCTACATTGTTCCCAAGGTCTTATCGGTTACATGTCTGCTTCATTTTGTAGGACCTTGGGAGGGGTGCAGTCACCGCAGGCACAGTCACTTTATGTGTTTCGATATGTCCGGCTGATTCGTACTATGACTGACCCATCTTTCAGTTTCACATTGTCAGACTCCGACCTATTTGCCTCGCCTGGATTGTCCGAGTGTGAGCGCCGAAACCCCTAAATCCCTAAACCCTAAACCCGGCGTTCAAAAAAAAAAACCCTAAACCCTGCTACGGCTCCTGCTCCTCCTGCTGCTGCCCTTGCCGCTGCTACAAGTGCTGCTACTGCTCCCGCTCCTCCTCCCGTGTTGTGACATTGAGCATGGGGAATGGCTGGTTTTGATGTGTATAGTAGTCATAAAACCAATGATGATAAGAATAGTAATAATTAAAAGAATAAGAACAAGAAACAGAAGAATGATACTACTATTAATAATGTAAACTAGGATACGGTTGAGGGGTAGGTTTCAGGACAGCTATGCAGGAATCACACCGCGATCACATTTCTCCGGCCCAGCAATTGGCGAGGCCTACAGTCCTGAACACACCAACCGCGAAACCCTGAACACACGAACTGCTGCGACCTCTGTCGGCCTGTCTGGGAAGATCCCTGCAATGCTTGGAGGCATGCCCGAAGTGGTGGCCTGTAGCTCGCGAAAAAGGTTGCGGGCGTTTAAGCTTTAATTAGCTGCGGCTTAAAGTTTGGAGGTTTGGGCTTTTGGGTTTGAGTTTTCGGTCTAGGGGATTCTAGGGCTTCGGGTTTAAGGTCAAGCAGCGCTCGGATAATTTGCACGTGGCGGTTGTTCTTGATCTTGGTCCGCTTGGGGATACTTCTCGAATCGGCTTTTCAGAAAGGGGTTGGGGAGGGTTTTTTTGACTCCCGCGCCGCTCGTGCTAGAAATGCCTCACAACTCCAGGATGTTCGAGCTTACGACACCGTCTCCTCTGTGGTCTGGCGTGTCTTGGGTTTATAAGGCTTTCGGGGTCAAGATGTTCTGCAAACAAGCTAGAAACAAGGTCCCTTCTAAGATTGTGGGGGCCTTTCTGAACAAAAAGATACTAAAGGGGATACGAATCTGATTCCAGGGACTGTTCAAATCACTATCGATGCACATGGCGACGATGGTGCTGGTGGTGATGGCCATCGGCAGCACCGACACCATCAGGACTGCAGGAAGAAGAGTCCTAGCAGTAGCTCCTATCAATAAGCTGGAAATCTCTAAAACCTTACAAGCCCCAAATCCACTACATATCCTGAGCCCTAAATAAATCTTTATGTAACGCTTAAGCTCCTGAATACTTAAGTACTTGTAACCTCGAAGAAGCCTCAAGACTTACTTACAACGCAAAAACCAGACTAACTAGCCCCAGCCCTTAACGAAACCTTAAGCCCTCGAAGTAGCTCCTAAGCACTAAGCGAGCCCGACCGGTTAAGTAGCACTACAAACCCTCTTAGCAGTAGAGTAGGCATCCTTGGCTTTTTTGGGGGTGTTATAACCCCTATCTAATCCCAAAGGTTAACCTAGTAGGTCTAAGTTCCTCCGAGGTGGTTCGTGCTGCACAGGACAGCGAGGCTCGCCAGGGCTTTTGGTGGCCTAGCGACTCCTCACGTACAGGTTGAGATTTAGGGTTTACTGCCTAGGGTTCAGGTTAATGAATGTTTGAGATTTAGGGTTTTGGGCCAGGGGTAGGAGTTTGGGGCTTCAGGGCTTCGCTGTATTATGGCTTCTGTCATCGTCTGGTTCTGTCCGGCAGTTCGAGGATTGTGACAGTGGTTATCGGGCATCGCGTTTGGCACGGCGCCTGGTTGACAGGACAACCACCCATATCAATCCTACTATTTTGGGGTTATAGGCCCAGGGTTTCTTGATCAGGTGCCTACATTACCCTGTTTGACATTCGGAAACTTCCCAAACCCGGCCCCCGGCTGATTCGTTTTTCTTCCCCGTAAGTAGGGGTCGCCTGCAGAGGTCCTTAGATTTAGGAAGTTAGGGCTTAAGGTTCTGAGGGTGAGACTTCCTAACTTGAAGGCTTCATGTTTGGGCCGTGCTTAGGGTGTACGGGTGAAGCCAATCCCTAACACACAATCGCCCTTGAAGTTGAAAATCATGGAGCCGTCTGTCTGCAAGCAGGAGAATCGGCTATGGCAGCGTGCTTTCGAGGTAGAGCGAGAGCGCGCCGAGTGGGGGCACCTGGTGATGACCTTTAAGGGTTTGGGGTTAAGGGGATTGGGTTTTGGGATAAGTTCAGGGTGTCGGGTTCGGCGCTGCAGGCCTCCCGAGTATCTCTTGCAGAGTTGGGATGTTGAGTGTTGAGCTTGGTCTTTCCAAACTTGTGACGGGGCGCTAGACCAGAACTGTAGCCATCGTCCTGGAGGCTTCTTGAACTTGTCTCCCAAAAGCGCGTAGCACGCTTCCACTTATTGAAAAAATCGAGCTTGAAGACATGCTTCTTGCAAATCCTCGGCTACAGTAGCTGACACCAAGAGAGGCGAAATTGCAGATTCAACCAGGAGATTGCATGGGCCCTTTAAGCTTAAATAGCGTACTAGTGGCCCTGGGTAGGTGGGTACTTGGGGTCTGTTAGAGAGTGGTCGGGGGGTCTACGAATGGGTGCTGACGTGAATCCAGCTGCAGGCTGCTCGTGTGTCTCCGAGATTGTAGGACCACGCTCAGGGCTGCCATTTCTGCTCCACCGAATTCAAAGAGTAGAACTTTTCGCGATTCGGGATTATACCATTTCCTTTACCATATCTTGCAAAAACAAGGTTAACCCTTCGGGAGTAAGTCTCTTGTAAAGACTGTCGCTTCTGCGTGTCCAGACAAGCAGGAATGACAGCATGAGAGCCGGGCACAGTCTTTTTTGTAGCTGCTTCTATAGTCTGCCAAGTCGTTGTTGGGGCGTTTGTTCTTCATGCTGGGACTGACTTGAGGATAGTCGTAACATGCTGTAGCTACGGTATAGAGTGCAGGTCTTGTTATAGCTCTTGCCTAGTGCAACTGCTAAGCCATTGTGAAACTACAGCAGCAACAACTCCGAGAAGTAGTGCTCAGCGTCTGAGCCAGGTTGTCATCTACATAGATCTCGAAATCCTGGGCCCCAACTACTATAATCCTTAGCCCTAGACGCTAAATCTTAAAAGCATTTTAACCTAATGCCTCAACCCCTCCTGCGACTCCCTAAGCCCTAGCATGTGCATTGAAGCTCTGAATCTGAAGACCTTCAAACCCTGAACCCAACATCTCCAAACCTCCAAACCCGAAACCCCAGGTCTCCAAATCGCCTTCAAAGGCCGAGTCTCTAAATCTTGCAGCCTTCAAACCCTGAGTCTCTGAATCTTAAAACCTTCAAACCCTGAGTCTTTCTAAATCTTAAGCCCTTCAAACCCTCGACCTTCCTTCGCTGAGGCTGCTGGGTCTGTGCCTCGAGGAGGGCGCAGAAGTCAAACAGCCTTCCGGGCCTTGGCTTAAGGTTTAGGGTTTAAGGGTTTAGGGCATTCACCGTTCCACGGCAAGACTTCAAGAGGCCTGGATGCAAAAGGGTTCAGAGTTTGAACTCGGCCCATTCTGCGAGCAGAGAGCAACCTGTGTTGGCAAATGTTGCCGCTGCCCTGCAGTTCGGGCTCAAGAACTTTCCCTTTTTCCATCATCGCTGAAGAACAGCTCCGCCTGCGAACCCATGCTCTCGCAAGCCCAGCTCGAGGGAGTGAAGCTCAAGGCCAAGTTCACTTTCATCGACGTCGTGGAGCCTTCAGCGCCGAGTCCGAGGCGATCCGCAAGCATGCCTGCAATGACGCATGGTCGGAGCCTTCAGTGCGAGGACGACTACTTGGCGGGGCTCTTGGAGGAGGCCAGGAGTGCTCTCCCCATCCCGCACCGGGCTCTGACGGCCGCGGCTGAGATCGCCTTTACCCCGCCGGGTTCGGAAGACTTCGAAGCTGGTGACCAAGACGACGTAGCCGGGAGCCTCGGGCATCCCTATTTCTGCCGCCGACCTTGTGTCTTACTGGCAATGGGCCGGTGCCAAAAGGGAATGGCTTGCAAGTACTGCCATCATGCCCATGGCAGCGAGAAGCCCCAGGTGTTTCCGAGGCACATTCGGGAGAGGATCAACCGCATGAAGGGATCCACGAAGTTGCGGTTGCTTCGTGATAGCTTTCACCAGAAGCTAGGTTGTCCTTTGGGATCTTTTGTAATTTCCCCCTATTATTTTGCAGAGAACCATACTCGTGAATAATTTTCAAAGGGCTTAAAGGACAACTCAGGAAGGTGCAAAAAGTTCCGGAGTTGGCTTCGCAAGTCACGAGGCTGGTGGACATCATCGAGGAAGGGCTACGTAACGAAGCCCCGGAGTCGTCAGAATCCACAGGCTCTCGACTTCACGAGAGGGTTGCCGTCATAACAGTGGCAGCCATGCTGGGTGACTTGGTCGTCGAGTTTGCAAACTTTACATGTTTTCTATTCGGACTACGTTCGATTCAGGTCGAACGTTTATTCTTTGCGGCACGAACGAACCCCCATGAGCCCTGAAACCTTGAACGCCGAACTTAAGGTGACGTGTTCACCCGGAACATTGACCCGGACATTCAGCGGCGCCTACAGGAAGAGCTCCGACGTCTCCGCATCGAAGCCTGAGCGTTCGAGAACTCGGGGTATGGAACTTCGGTCATCCAAGGCTTATACGGTTCAGTGGCTTAAGATATGCCATGGTTGTGTGTATAGCTTGCCTACACACAAGGTGCAGCAAGAGGCGTCGACACGCCTGCTGAGATTTTATAACTCGCTTCTTAATTTCAAGCCTTACCGTTCGCGAGGGTGTGGGGTTTGTGGGGAGGGCTTGAACCCGAACCTAACCCCAAAGGCGAGGGCCCAGAATTGGGTTTGGGGTTTCGTGGGCCTAGGAATGATTGCTTGAAGTTGGGCCCAGGGGTACTGCAAGAAGCTCGCGCGAGATGGTAAGATACGCGGAGTGACCATCGTGTGGGACTCGACATCCACCGTCCTCAGTTGTCGCTTCGGCTCTGCTTGGTTTTTGAAGGCTGCCCAGAGTCAGAGTACCCAGTACCTGGCAATTTAAGGAATCTAATTTAATTTTCGCGCGGCCAGTGGCATTCCCAACTTTGTGGAAAGCACCGGCCGCGTCCCTTGAGTTCTGCACCGGTCGAGGGTCCTTCCCTCAAGTTGACCTGCCACAACGACATATCGCGGGGGCTTGGCAAAATGCCGACAAACCTCTTCCTCTGCCTTCGAATGCACATGCATGGCAGCTTCTGTGTTTGATATGTCTTTGAAGAATGTTGGAAGCCAGCGTTGGGGATCAGATCGTGATGCGCCCGCAAAGCCAAAAAGACCGCTTGTGACCAAGGGGAGCGAACCAATTACACGTAGGTAGAAAGTGATAGTCAAAGAGAGAACGACAAGACAGCTTAACATGAGTTTACACAGTTGCATAATGCTGCATTACTTGTGCTGTGCGGTGGCATGGTAATTTAAACGCTTTGCGTCGTCCGCCTCGGCCCAGCTTGTCTTGAGGAGCCCAATCTCTGGCAGAATGTCCGGACGCAGGGGCTGTCAACCTGTCAACCCGAAATTCAAAAGACTTGGTTTGGGGGGGGGGGGGGTCCGTCGCGCCGGCTAAGGGTCTCTGTAAGAACCTCTGACCGCTTCGGCCAGGGCCGAGGCGAATTTATGTCAGTGGCTACCATGAGCTGTGCCAAGCCATTGCTGGTTCGACTCTGTTGTCGCAGGAACCCTTATACAACCTCGACCCAACGTTAAGAACCGAGTTATTGTTGGAGCCACCTCGCATGCATGCATCGGTCATGCCGTCATGCACAGAGCGGGCCAGTGGCTGAATCAATGAACCAAGCAGCATGAAGCCAAGTGGCCAGAGCGATTCCCGGTCTCGAAACGGTTGAAATCCAATGTCCTTCGTTCTGAACTCCGGAACCTCAAGGTATGTTTCAGGCAGGCCAATTCTATAGCCTAAACCCCACCTTGTTGAGACCAAACAGTGCTTGTAGAGATGCATGCTGCGCCACGTTCTGACATATTCGTGATGTCGTCGTGATTTCTAATTATTTCTCAAAGAAACCCTAAACCTTCCAGTCGACACATCAACTAAGCCCCAAACTTTACACTCCCGAGCCTCAGACCCTAAACCCAAGAATCCTTGTCTCCGAAGCCTTCAGCCCTCAAACCTCAACAAGTTTGCTTGGAGGATCATGGGACTTAGTAAGTAAGGTTATAAGTACCTTAATTGGGGTTACAAGTACTTGTAAGTTTAGATGCCTTGTTTATAACCCCACCTACTAAGTCCCATGATCCTCTAAGTGGGGTTCAGGGTTGAGCTTTCGGCCCACTCCATGCAGGAGCCTCCCTCGAGCGGCGATGAAGGCTCTTGGCAGGCCGCTTCCTCATACTTCTCCTTTACGGCTCTGTGTTGTCAAGGGTAGCCCGAGTTTCAAAACCAGGATCCTAAACGCAAAGCGCTACAGTACCTATAATCTCCATTGCAGTTCTTGTTTGGGGTTACTTTTTAGGATCCAAACATAGAGTTGGATAAACGGGAACTGCAATGGAGACGAAGGGCAGTTTTAGATCCATGACTCACCCTAAACCCTACTTGGACTATCCGGGGGCTTAGTAAGTAGGGTTATAAGTACCTCAATCAATTTGGGCTATAAGTAGTTATAAGTATAGTTACCTTATTCATAGCTTTACTTACTAAGTCCCATGATCCTCCAAGTAAACCTAAACCCTAAACCCCTTGGAACCAGGATCGATTCCAAGCCCTGCGATCCAAGACAGAAGCAGCCGAGGCCGAACGCCCGGGCCCCATGCCTTTGGTGTGGGCTTAAGGGCTTAGGGTTGACGGCTTAAGAATTTAGGGATAGAGCTGCGGATTGTGCTTTTCGGGTTTACAGCTTTGGGTTTAGGATTGGGGTCCCGGGTTTCATTTAAGTTGTCGATGGAGACCTTGATGGTCCGATGGGTTGTGCGGTAATTACATGGTATCTCGAGGCTTATACGGGTTGCACGGGCATTTTGGAGGGGTTTCATCTTTTCATGAATACTCGCCAGTACTCGCAGTCCTTTATATCATTCTGTTGACTTAGTTGAGAGATGGCTGCAAAACGGAGCAGGACTTGACACGCCAGTCGTCGTGACGCAAGCGACGGTATCACTTGCCTGAACCCGAAACTCTAAAACGTGCAGCGAGAGGGAGCATGGTACTGTAAAGCTATCGGTTCTTTCTTTAGAACGTGGATTCGCATGGCTTAGACCACGGTTGTCAGGAAACGAGAGAGAGTTTGTAACAGACATGGCCGAAAGCCTCAATGATTTCCAATACTCTTCCTTAGTGTCCCTTGTTGTATCTATTGTTCAAAACTTGACCCAATACCCCTAAACCCTAAACCCCTACAAGGATCCCCCAATTACTTCAACTTGGGTTCCATCACAAGGAAGAGCCCAGCTGGTCGAGGCCGCTGAGCCGTCCTCTCAGCACTGCCATGTCTTTGTAGGGTTGGGGGTTTAGGGCTTGAGTCCGCGAGAGAGCGAGAGAGAGAGAGAGAGAGAGAGAGAGAGAGAGAGAGGGGTTTAGGGCTTAGGGGTTTAGGGTCTTGGATTTTGGTGGCTCTGTTTTCTGCCGTGACTCGTGGTTTCTTATCGGCCTCAGTGCGGTTGCAGTGCAGTTGGTGGCGTTTGGCTCCCGACTCCCTTAACCCTAAAGCCTCAAACCGTGACTGATGGGCTAGACCCTTTTGCCCCTGGGCTTTGTCCTAAACCTTATGAGCCCTAAGCTCGATAAGGCTGTAGACTATCCCACTTCATTGCGCCTTATTTCCGAAATCATGGTAGGAATCCCCACAGGGCTTGAATTTTTGCTCCTGTGATTCAGGCGTACTGGGAGCTTTGAGTATCCCTAAGACCCATATCTCAGGCCCCCGTAGAGCACTTGCAAAACCCTTGGGTTCATTATGGTCGAGAGGGGCTAGCCTTAAGCTTTACAGTACACCCTAAACTCCCTAAGTGGGAGGGAAAAAAGTTCCCTAAACCGTAGCCGTAGCCGAAACCCTAAACCCCAGACCCCTAAACCCTAAGCCCCAAACCTTCAGCCGCTTCGGAGGACTGGGCTCAAGTCCAAAGTGACTCAGGAGCAAGGCAGGTTTCCTTTAACGCTGTAGCAGCAGCTGCGGGTTTGTAGGATTTGGACTCTGGGACTTGTAGGAATCCGGGATTTAGAGAGAGAGAGAGAGAGAGTTAGTTCTATGCTGTTTTCCTATGGCCGCACAAGGCTTCTATGCCGGACAGCACCGGAAAGCTTGACGGCCCTTTAAACCGCGAAGCCCTTATGCCCCATACCACTGACATCCACTGACCTTACAGCTCCTGGGTCAGGAGCACCTCGGCTTAGGATTGCAAGGTTTGCTTTAGTTTGCCCGAACTTGCAAGCTGCCTCAGACTTAGAACCAGCTTTTACCCATAGGCCCCGTAGTAGTTCCTTTTTTGGGATTCAATATGTAGAACTCTACAAGGTAATCCCAAAAAGGAACTACTATGGGGCCTATGGGTAAGGTATCCCACAGTTCAGTTTACACAGGGACGAAGGGTGAACGTCGCAAAGCAATCCCAAGCTCCAGGTTTTTAGCTCAGGAATTGGAGTTTAGAAGGTCCTTTATCCGAGAGGGACGACAGCCATGGGAGAGGCAGTGTCTGTGCCGTGCGATACACAGGACAGGGACATGTTTGAGGATTTGCTTTTGAGCTGTCCATACTCGTTCATTAACTTCTTTAATTGCTTTACTCTGTGTGTGTGTGTGTGTGTCCTGGATCGAAGTGCGCTGTTGAGTGCCGATGTCAAGGCGGAGTTCGGTTCAGTTTGCGGGACGAACGTTTTGGAGGGTGACCCTCAAGGCAACCCTGGCCTCCTGAAAGCCCTGAACCCCTATTCATCCCTAACATGTAGACCCTGAGCCCCTTAACCCTTACACCCCTGAATCTTCGAAAACCCAGTAGTCATGACACAAGGTTATTAAATCCATAACCCCTGAACCTTAATTAAACCCACGAATCATGGACACAAGGTTAATTAAACCCATAATCCCCTAAACCCTAAACCCCAAAACCCCCTAATGCCTCGCCTGGATTGTCCGAGTGTGACCCTGGGAGGATTTGGGGGAGTCCGAGAACCGTCAGCCGGTGGAGCGGTATCCGGCTCATGGGAGGCTACCGATTTCTTCTTCCCGGGGTTTGGGGTTTCGGGTGGGTTTAGGGTTTAGGGTTTCTGTCACGAGTACAGCGCGGCACGAGTCAGCTGTCCTGGCGTGACGTTGCAAGCCAGTTGCAAAAGGGTTCAGGGTTGGTTGAGGGCTTGGGGTTACAGGGCTTAGGGGCGAAGGTGGTTCGGTCTTAGAGTTGTGGTACAGGTTGAACAGGGCTTGATTGAGCTTCGTGGCGTTTTGGAATGCGTTGGGAAGATTGTGTTTGGGGGCACCGCATCCCAAGTGCTGCGAACCTGGTCGAATAGCTAGATCACCGACAAGTGTGCCACTCTCGTGTTAACCAGGCCACGCAAAGGTTGCTTTCCGTCGTGAAGGTAAATTACCACGATGCCACTGAGATTTATGTAA